TCCGATCTTAATTATTCCAGAAACGATAGTCAAATGCTTCATCTTCATAACCAATGAAATAACATTTCTTTGACTTAGCCTCAAGTCTGTTACGAGCATCAGGATTGATTAGAACATAAGAAAGACAATTAAAAGCCTTAAAATGTGAAAATTTGACATCTTTGTTGCTCCAGACCTCCTCAGGTAATTCACAATTTAATGAAACGGATGGCTCCCTATTGATCAAATAAACTGCACTGCTGACTGTATCTGCCTAGAAAATTAGTGGTAGTCTGACGTGCAATCTCATGCTCCTGACACGCTCATTCATGGTCACGTTCATACGCTCTCCATTTTGTTGTAGTGTCCCCAGGATGGTCTTCTCCATTCTGATACCCTGAAATGTTCAGTACTCCTTGAACCCACCATCGATGTACTCACCACCATTGTCAGACATCAAACATTTCAGTTTTAGATCTGTCTCCGTCTCAACCACGGCCTTCCAACTTTTGAACATAGTAAATACATCAGATTTATGCTTCAAAAAATAAACTCATATATTTCTATTGTGGTCATCTATGAATGTGACATAGTAATGAGAGTCTCCAAAAGATGTCGCTAGGGAAGGTCCCCACACATCGATGAGTACAAATTTTAGTTTTCCTGTCTTTGGCGCTCTGCCACCTTTCAGGAAATTGACATTTTTTTGCATCCCCATATTGTAATTTTCACACATGTCAATATCAACTGACTTCAGTTCTGATAGCTTGCCTCTAGACTAAAATTATTTCATATCTCTCTGACTCATGTGTCCAAGCCTGCAATGTCACATGTCTGTTGTGCTCTCTGCAATTATCGTATCACCATTGTTAATTAAACCAGTAGTCATATACAGCGTACTAGTCTTCTTACCTCAATCCTGTACCAGTGCTCCTTTAGTGACCTTTCAGGTGCTATATGAGAACATTCTTCAACTCACAAATGTGTCTGACCTTTTGCAAAGTCCATTTACTCTTGTTAGGGAGTGCAATATCAACATCTCTCATCTTCACTACGTTCAGAGCTTCTCCATCAGCCATATACACCTTTTCAAAGCCATCTGCAACATAGTTTCGCATCAACTCCTGGTGGAAAGATATATGGAAAAAAGCTCATGAGTTCGGTATTCAGTCTTCAATAGAGCTGCGAACTGTAAGCAATAGTGCATCATGCACTTCTTCAGTTATAGCATTAGCACTGACATTCTCCGCCTTATTATGATTTTTGCAGTTCTTCTTTATATGGTCATTTTGTCACAATTCCAGCAGGTTGCTAGCTGACCAGGCTTTGACTTGCTCTTGTCTCTATGCTTTGATTTTGATTTTCCTCTATTTGAGTTTCTATCATGTGATTTACCTCTGGAATCAACATTCAGTGTCGAACTCGAACCCGATGTCTCGTCAGAATCTTTCTTTCTCACCTCCTCAACCAAAATTAAATCATGGCTTAAATTTATCTACAAAATTGCTAACTGTCATGCTCATGACTTCTCAGTTATTTGACAGTGAAAATAAACATATCTCATCGTCAAAATCAATTTTTACAAACGATAATTAATTTGTGATGGTATTGAAATCATTCAGATGTTGAACAACAGACACACATTCCGCCATCTTCAAGTTTAATAATTTTTTTATCAAGTGCACTTTATTATTTGTCGATGATTTTTCATGTATACCTGATAAAGCTGTCATAAGATATGCAGTTGTCATCTCCTTGATGACGTTGTGGGCAACGGATCTAGACAGGATCAATCAAATAACCCCAAGAACTTGTCGATCCAACAGATTCCAATCAACCTCATCCATCTTCTTCGGTTACTTTCCTAGTAACGGAAGATAAAGTTTCTTCTCATAGAGGTAGTTATTTATTTGCATCCTCAAGTAAAAAAAATATGTGTCATCGAACTAATCAATTCCTGAAACTTTCACTTCGTCTCCGATCATCGTTCTTCCTCATATCCGAACCGGGGCTCGATACTAATTGTTAAAAAAACAACGGCAAAAAAGTGAAAATCGGATTAAAATTGCATATCATAAAATAACACACAGATTTACGTGGTTTGGTAAATTTGCATACGTCCACGGAATTACAGAGAATTTTATATGGTTGAGAATTACACTCATCGATCATCTCGACGATTACAAGAAAAGCTCTCCCTTTTTTCTCACTCCTCACCCTCGACCTTCTCTCTTCTCCTTTACCTATGATTCATCAAAGAAGAACGAACCGCAAGGAAGAGGGAAATCCTCACCGCAAGCCAATCGCATAAGGGACGGAGGGAGAACTTGGAACCTCGCTGTGAGCCAACGTCTTTTAATGAATTGCGGAGGGGAAAGCAGTCTCTATTTAATCCAATTTCTTATGAAATTATTTAATGGTAGTGGGACCCTCCATCACATCAAAATGAATTTATCAATTCTTTATTCACCACCAAAGACAGCTGTCTTATTAGCTAAAGAACGGAGGCAGGAAGAGCATTAATGAGTCGGGTCCTCCTTAGGAAAGCATCGCCTTATAAAACAAGAAATATGGAAGTTCAATTAATTTCTACAAATTGACCTGGGCTTTACTAAACCTAACAATGATAACAGAGACAACTGAGAGTTCCCTTAAGACATCATGGAGTTGAGAGTCCCAACCAACCCCAGCGGGATCTCCTCATCTAAAAGGTAAACTACCCGTCAGGTTACGGTGACTCACCCTTTGCCTGATGGTCTAGCTTTACGCGATCGACAGAAACTCCATGGGTGGGTATTAAGGGTTGATTAATGGATCAATACATCCAGTCGGCTGGATAATGGTCTCTATCCATCTGTTCGGCCGTCAATACTGATTGTTTTATCTTCTCGGCCCAATCGATCAAACTGAAGAATTGTGAGGCCCTGAGATGACAGCAGTATAATCCCTAAAATAACGTGTACATACCCTATTTAAATAGGAGTATAAATGTAACTTCAACCCTTGAAATATAAAACAAGTCCCTCATTTTATTGTTCATTAGCGTACTACTCTTTGCCCCTATCTCTCTCTCCCCCTTTCCTCGTGTCCTATGCACTATTCATTGAGCGTGATTCATGAGACATTCTCAGATTAAATTATCTAAATCATTTGAGCAACAAAACACCTGCAATTCATCTAACCCATATGAAACTTTGTAAAAATAGAAGGAAAAAAATGCCAAATGCTACGATTATGTTGAAATATCACTTGAAAGTTCAGATATAGGATCAAGTAAAGTACTATCAAAGCTTAAATTAGATGTTCAAAACCAGGCCCAATAAGCGCTCAACACTGCCTTGATCTTCGAAACTTTGCAAGCAAATTTAATAGATGATTAGGAAAAGAAAGAAGTACACCAACATCCGACGAAAATGGAAATGGAAAGGTACCTTCACGCTTACAAACCCACATAGCGCCTTGAATTCAGATAGCGCAATCGCCATTTCCGGCTTATGGTTTGGGTCCTTATAGAGCTCCGGGTGCGTCTTGTGAAGGAACCCCGCCAACTCCTTATCCGGATGCGCCTGTATCGATAATGCCTTCCCCACAGAAAGAGCCTAACCCAAGACCAAACCGATTGACAGCTCCAAAACCCCAATCAACCAAAATGAAGAAAATTAACAATAATAATAACATCCACTATATTAAACGCTGTCATAACTCACCTTAAACAAGAAAGGGAGGTCCATCCCCCACCTCTTCACAACCTTCTCACCAAGAACACTAGGATTCTCCTCCACCAACGACTTGAGGGTCAGTCGCTCCCCCTCCGGCTGGCCAAGGTCCACGAACGAAGGGCCAGACTCATGCGTCCCCATCCAAAGCTCCGCGTACGGCTTGCCGGCCTCGATATCCTGCTTGGAGTTCAGAGCAAAGAGCCTCCCCACCATCGATTCCTGGCCGATCATCCCCCAGTCGTAGTTCTTCACCGAGCATCGCAGCCTTAACGGTCGCCGTGCCTCCGCCGTTGCAACAGCCTCCATTCCAGCAATTCACTGCGAGCAGAAATGCCAGAGCAGGCTACAAAATCGTTAGGCGGTTGAGAAGATTGAACTTATATCGTAGCCCCGTCGATTACTGCTCCGGCGATTTCCCGCCACCACTACTTGCTCCTTCGCCGCCGGCGAATCCCGCAATTTAAGGACGGGAACGAATTGCGAGATCACTATTATTTGTTTATAGAATCCAAGGAGGCAGTGGAGTGTGGACCTCTCTCTTATTCCTTTCTAGAATCCGAGGCCTGCTTTAATTATTTATTTATTTATTTATTTACTTCTTTTATTAAAGGGATTTATATATATATATATATAAATATATAGAAATACATACACATGTATATGAATGTGCTAATAGTTATTATATTTATCTATCTTTCAGCTTATTTGGTGCGGTGGCGTTTTGAAAACGCACCTGACCTGTTTTGGTAAACTGCGTTTTGGCAGCTTATGCATTTTGAAAACATTGAAAACAGTATTTTCAGACCGCACCTATCTAGATATGGTGACAGCTTTCTGTTAGTAGTCTTACTTTTCCAAAAAAATGAAAATTTGCAATAGCCACCGCATCTAGCTTATCAGCTGATTATTTTTAATCAATTTATCAGCAGATTATTCAATAAGCAGCAATTGCCCGTTGCCCCCAAACAGACCTTATATATAATGTTATTGCATTTTTATCACATCTATAATATCTAGTATTATTAAATAAAATGACAAAATAAATGTTATATTTAACCTTGACAAAATAAATGCTACATTTAGTCAAATTGACAAAAATAGCACCCAATTTCCTTAAATTTACATATCTAACAACTAAATTGTATTTTCATCTAAATATACCATCCACATTGTTATATCACATAAAAAACATCATTCCTTTAACTTTAAAAGGTGAAATGTAAGGTCTTGTGCATGCGTAAAATATTAAGATGGTATGAATGTAAAAATTAAAATTTAAGTATTAGAATTATAAATACATAAAAATGTAGGGGTATGTTTGTAAAATATCTAATAAATAAATAAATAGGTTGTTTAACAGTTGCGTGACTTGGATTTGTTAAACAAATTATAACTGCTTTTTTTGTATTTTTATCCAAAAGTCAAGTGTAATATATATATATATTCTTATTAAGTTTTTTATTTAAATATATTCTCTTTATTATCTGAAGAAAATATATATTTAATTGATTAAATACTGAAGAATATTTTATTTTAGTTTATTTAATTAGTTGATTAAATACTGCAGAGTTTTTTTTTAAAATAAGATTTAAGTTAAATATATTTATATCTACCCATTGAGTGACTATTATTTTATATATATGAAATTCAAATCAATCGTCGCACGAATCTCAAAGCATTTGAACTGCTCAGACGAAGGCCAGACAACCAATGTGTCCTACTGCCTTATTGTCAATCATGTGGTCACGAATCGGCCGACACGCAAAAGTGAGAGATTTGAACGACAGACCACGCCGACAATCTCGACCGATCAGGGTGCAGGCGGGAATCGTTAGTCGTGACTAATCAGCCAACCCGCCTTTACCACGGCGGACGAGATCGACACTCAATCGGGCGCCTCGACCGACCAACCCATTGTGCGGTCGTCACTCAGGCGATCACCTCGTTCGGTCGAATTCAAGCAAATCGACCAGCCAAATTACTGTAATATTAAAATTCAAATTGTAATACCCATATACAATTAAATAGAACATCAATTGCATTAAGAGCGATTTCCATAGTTATTTTCTTCTTTATGTAATTATATAAATCATTGGTTGCGGTTAATTGATCAACTAGAATTTACCACGATGAATGAGATCGACACTCAACCGGGCGTCTCGATCGACCAACAAATGGAGCGGTCGTCACTTTGCCGGTCACCTCAGTCGGTCGAATTCAAACAAGTCGACTGACCGAAATAATATATACAATGAGTTGAATAGTTATTTTTTTATGATCAAAATCTTAAATTAGTTAAAATCATCGCTTGTATTATTTTCATCATTATAATCATGACTGTGTTCTTACAATTCTTAACCCGTACCCTACAAAAAATGCTTCTATTACTCTCTTTAAGTGTTAACGGATAAATTGTATCCATATGTATTACTCTAGAATAAGCTCTTAATTGGACATTTCTGCTTGGGCACTTATAAGTGAACATTTGACTTCATTTATATGTGCTACATCTATGACTGTTAACGATCCAATTTCGAACTGATCTAGGGTTAACTCAAAATCGCTCGACCAAAATTCAATCCAAAATTTTGGCTCGTATATTGACTTGTTTATCTTGATTCGATCTCAATTTGAGCTGAAATTCAAATCAATCTTCGAGCGATTAATGATCTTCGAATTATATTCACAGCCCTAGCTATCTCTCTCTCTCTCTCTCTAAACTCTAGGGCAAAATCAGGAGTGTATCTTGAAGGACGAACATTGAGATAGTATGCTAGTGGAGGAGATTATGAAGCGTTTATTAGATGGAGTTGACCTAACTCGTTGTTGTTAACTATTGACCTAATGGACGCAACCATGTGACCAAACAATTATCAGAAGCTATTTTATCATTATTCTTCTTCTACAAAATTCTAAATGTACATATTAAAGGAATATATGGGTACCAAAATTCAAAAAAATATATAAAAATAATAATAATATTTAAATAGTGTTGACCTCACTTTTGGTTGAGGTCTAGAAAACTTCTTTAGTAGCCTAGGTCTAGCCATAGGACTTTCCTATTGACTAGTCTTAGAAAATTAGAAAAGTTACCCCCACCATTAGAAATTCAAAACTCTTCTTTTTACTCA